TGACAGTTTCCATCATTGCTTGCTACACACCATCAGAAGCCACAACAGTTGTCACAAGTGGAACAGTGCCACCAACTATCTCTGGCTCAACTCCATCGATCACCATCAGCACTGTCATAACGGGAACTACGCGAACATCAGCGACAGCTGTAACGTCAGCTAGTTTAGCCACTGGACCAACAGCTACTACAACCACAGTTATCTGCCCGCTTACAGAAGGTATGTTTCGTTTAAATGTAAAAAGACGTCGCTTTGTTGCTGCTGAAGGAGTTCTGTAAAAGTTCGGTATCTATCGAAGCGCTGAGAGGACGAAGAAACTAAGCGAATTAGCACGCAATCGCCCTGCATCTGCTTAATACAACTGCTACGTTCTATCAAGGAACATTTGTTAAAGAAGTCATATGATTAAAGGCTTGATTGGACAGTAGTTTGGTTGTCTAGCTTTTAATTCGATAGTTCTTCTCGTAAAGTAGTACATGCAGGAACTTTCAGGGTTTATGGCATTAGTGAAATTCTGTGAAGTGTTGCTTATTCATGAATACACGTGATGGAGAGAGTGTTGCCAGCAATAAATCTCATGAGAAAAGTTACCATTGAACTTTACCAAGAGAATATGCAATAAGTAATAGGAGGAAACTTATGAGTGGTGACTGGGATGATCGTCGTGCCAAGAAAATAAGTACGATTGTATTGGAAGTGTTGAAATTTTAAGACTATGTTTCTGAGAGAGTCAGATGATCGTGAATGTTCGACGTCTCAGATTTCGTTGATTTTTCATATTTTATAGGTAGTAATGAGGTAAGTATCAGATAAAACTTTTAGCTGAATCGGATCACCTTTTCGTACCGGGAAAGTCAATAAACGGGGAGAATTATCGATATTTGTTAATTTCGATCTTTTTGTTTTTCTTTCGGTTTTCCAGCAAGTTCTGTGAGATTTCCTTGAACAAAGGTGTTTGATAGATACGATAAGTATTTGAGACTTTGCTGGAATAAAAAAAGCTCTAAAACATCAATAAGAACATGACTCTCACTTGTTTCTCGAGATTGTCGGACCTAAATTTCGACCATTCGGATATTACGCGCCAATAAGCAATTGGCCTGCTATTCATACTAGTGATAGAGGACCTGTTGGTTTATCACCTAGAATGTCCAAAAGCTTTTGCTCTTTGAAAAAAGTAGGCCCTTTTTGAAAAGTACCAACATGCGCTATGTACATATTAAATAACCTATTTCTACGCTTTTTCCCCGTTGATTCATATTATGTTCTATAGTTAGTTAATCAAGTTCGACTAGAATAGGATCCTGGTGAATTCTTGTTGCAGTTACCATCAGTATTCATCACTAATAGCATATAAATGAGCTATATACTGTGGACAAAGTTTATGGTACACTTTACACTGGGTGATCAATCATGAATGACCGCACTTTCCATTTTACATTTTGATCATTAAATAAGTTTTATTAAAAACAAAACATACCATAAGGTGCAAATTTTCACGCTGTATCTTATGGTGTATTTTGTTTTTAATGAAACTTATTTAATGATTAAAATATAAAATGAAAAGTGCGGCCATTCATGATTGATCACCCAGTGTAAAGTGTACCATACATTTTGTCCACCGTAGTATGTTGCAGCTATCTATCAATGATCACAAAATTTCTCGTTTCTTTTCTCATACCTTTTGTTGACGATTCTTTTAGAGTATTTCGCACACATGTCATCGAATCAATAATATTGACCCAGGTCAACAAATTCGATGCTGGATCCGATCGGATCTAAGACCGTCGAATTCCTGTAGGATCTGATAAAATCCTATATTGGATCCGATGGGATCCGAGTATAGGATTGTTCGACCTGGGGATTTCGTTGTCAAGTTTCTGTCTTTTATACGTTTCATGTTGCTCGGTTACTATTCTTGAAAAAGTTCGAAGATTCAATATTGTATCCGTATATTATATTTTCAGAGAGTTAAAATACGGTATATAAGCCAGGAGGAAATCGCAGTAGAAATTGTTAAACCGGATTCATTCGATGAGGTCTGCATCCTAGTCGTTTTGAGAACAATAATCGCATGCATTAGCAATTTCATCCGCTTCCAGATCCGCCCATTCTTGTTCTTGTTGTATTTGGAAATAATGATCCGCATTTTCATCACTATCTAAGCCATCCTGACGTTTGGCGTTGTTGACACAATGCTGTCATTGCTTATTTATTTGCTTCTTTTGAAGGCCTACCAAATAAGCTACATATTTGATTTTTCGTCAAGTATTGATTTGTTAAAAACAGTTTGGTTTTATCTGATTTGAGCGCAAGACGCATTTCTTAGTTTGCTTTTTCATCTGTCACCTTTTTTACCGCTGATTTCACCTTGGTTGAAAAGTTTTGTTGTTCAAGCGTCATTTTCGTTGACTTCTGCCTAGGACGTATAGCCTAACCTCGTGAAAGAAAAACGTTTTCATATAATTCTTTATTTGAACGTTGTTATTATTTGTATTCTGAAGAAATTCAATTGCTGTTTTATTGCCTGTTCTCTCTAAGAGTCTTGCACCTTTCAGATGATCGATGTAGATATGTCGAGCGCGAACCATTGTCGATAAAGAGCCATTATTATAGAAATGTTCACCATTTTGCTCATGCATCATTAGCTGTTCTTCATTGTCAAACGATACTGAGCACGAGTTATTCGAGCAGAAAAAAATGTTTGGTGATAAATTACTTTTCGTTGAGAATAAACGATTTGTAATCTCCGCATCTGTAAATGGTTCGATTACCTCCATGTACAAAGTACTTCTAGATCTTGTCAGTGTCTTGGATCTTCCGTTACCGATATCAAAATATTGCCCGAAGGTAATGGAATTCTTGTCAAATTGAACCGAATGATATTTGTTATTCCTTCTATTTTTATCCTTGATAGAAGACATTTAGATTCATCAACTGCAAGAACGGATGTCTTCCAATTAGGTAAACTACCAAAAAAGTCGTCTGAAGCTTGCTTGATAGACTGTGCGTTGATCAAATTTCCTTCGCGATCCGAATAGGATCTCAGGCATGACTTCACCACGGCAATATTGTGACGATCTATCTATTCAATGCGTTATACGCATGTTATTTGCTCTTAACCCGGTGCATTTCGATGCACTTTGGGTCACCTTTCCTTTTCTTATTCTCTGTGGATGAGTATACAAACGCGTGCTTTGTATTAACACGATGTGATCTATGATAGGAAGAATAAAGAAAGACATGATTCCATCCGGATATACATCTCTTCCATCAAAAATCGTCACAAATATCACGACCAGCTCGATCCTTTCCCCGTTGAGGTTCGCTAAAATCCGTTCGTTTCAGTCCAAAGTCAGCACCTAAGCATATCATCTGGCGAGCCATGATAACCGCTGTTCCCGAATAGCAACCGGCATTATCACTGCGCGTGTACAAAGCGGTTAAATTTGGTACATCTCTTTTGATTTTATCAAGAACATGTTCAAAAACACACACAACCGATGACATATCTTTTAAGCAACTATCAATCACTGTGAAGTATGTAATTTTTTTAGGTTTATTATTCAGATCCATGTAAAATAACACATCTACATGAAGAGATATCCCTTTTTTACTGAACCACTCATCCATTTCCTCTCTATGCGATTGAGATTAAATTTTCATCGCCCAGTCGGATAATAAAATACCGGCATTCGAATTTAACTGCACTGAAAAAACATCAGCAGAATACTAAACCCTCAAAAAGGGTTTATAACCGAAAAAATCGATATATCAACGTGATCTACCCATTGATCCATCCTTTTTTCTCGATCAACCCACGAAGGGTCTGTATTCCGTTGCGAATTGATATATCCACGGATTGATTCTCTCTTGATAAACCCTTTTTGCGCTGATCAAACGAATGAACCCTCAACTATGGAGTTTTTCAGCACCTATAAGAAACCCATCGTTTTAGGGTTCATTCATTTGATCAGCGGAAAAAGGGTTTATCAAGAGAGAATCAATCCGTGGGTATATCAATTCGCAACGGAATACAGACCCTTCGTGGGTTGATCGAGAAAAAAGGATTGATCAATGGGTAGATCACGTTGATATATCGATTTTTTCGGTTATAAACCCTTTTTGAGGGTTTAGTATTCTGCTGATTTTTTTCAGTGTGTGACATGGCAAATTTCTTGCTCTTGTCTTGTTGAACACCGCGTATAATGTAAAACGTCCACCCCATAATGTCATTTTTCGCAGTTGAGAAATCAAATACTAATTCATCGTTTCTTGCTGTTGATAGTGCATTAGTAAGTAAAGTTTCTATTCGATGAAGTAAACCTAATAAACCATTGCATTTTATGCCTGACAACGAATGATCTGTATGATTGCAAATGGCCATGAAATTCGTATCGGTAGGATGACTTAAAGCAAATAACCTGCAATGCGTTGCGCAGTTCGTTTGATCGTTGTTGACATTCTGCTGATATTCAAATTTCAGGTAATTTCGGCTTAGATGTATGAGCTGCAGTATATTCTTTTCCTCCTTCTGGTTCAACTGTAAATTCTTCACCATATTTTTGAGTATATCGAAACCATTATTTCCATCGACGGTGAAACTGTCTAAACCGCACATTGTTTTCTTCTGTTCCATTTTGCATACACCTAATGTTAAGGTCGGTATAACTTGTTAGGTAATAGTTTATTCTTCAAATGTAAACGAGACAATTTTTACATAAATCCGAGAGCTGTTTATATAATATGCTGACACCCAACTAGTGGGAATATACTAACAAGAACTTATGATCTTGTAAAATTCCTAAGATGAAGTTCTTTAGAAAATCCCTGTTAAATCGAGAATGAGTGACATCCATAGTTATCATATGTGTATAAGAAAGAAAGAGAACGAACATATGGAAAAGATCTATACTATGAGTCATCTTATGGTACGTTGTATTGCGTGTCATAACACCTAACAAACGAAACACAGTTGAGCGACTAAGAGATTCACCGTAATCCGTTTCAATACAATGTTTATGGTATACCTGAAATACATCAACTTTCATCATGGTTCTGACGACATTTGTCAACAAAATCTTATCTCCTCGATCAAATTGTAGAAACGTGGTTCCATGAGCGACGTCTTGAATTAAACCAAATGAGAATAAGAAATCGAAAAAAATCCAAACGACCTCTATATAAACCCATGTCAAAGCTGTACGGCAGGATCAATGATTTTCCAACGATTTCCTGCAATGGGAATCTAACTTCGTATCCGACCATCCGCTTCCGATACTGTTCCAGTTGATTCCTTGACACGAATCACATTTTCGGATACGATCGTCGAACCCGACACCGTTCCTGATGAAGGATCCGTTGATCTCTTACGAGCCAGTGGCGGATCTAGCTGTTCGGCGACCGCCATCCCCTCATGGAATTATTTCTCTCTTTTTTCTTAGTGGGATCAAAGAAGAGAAGAGATCGTAGTCCTTTGAGAACTACTTTCGACTGAAATCGTCACCTCTACCAGCCAACCGCCACTGTTACGAGCAACGGGATACGAGCCGTTACTGGCAGTTTTCGTAATGGTTAGGAATAGACGAACCGGTATTTTTCTGTATTTTCGGATTTTAAATCGTCCGAAAATATTTTGTCCATTAATGTGCATTTAAGTGCAAAGAAATTTTACAACATTATGATACCTAATCAGCAGAGAAATGATGAAAGCCTATCACTGATTGCGATGGAAAATATTTGTCTGCATCTGATTACTCGGCAGACTGATATAATTGTTCGTGAATGTTTACTTTGTAAGTGATTCTTTATTTAAAATTGAATGATCATTCTCATCAAACATTACGCGAACTTCTCTTAAATACTGTTGAAAAATATTTTTAACATATTTCTCGATTGTCAAAATACAGTATCGTACGAAAGAAGTGCTCGCTTATGGTTATACTGTGAATTGGTTATTATCTGAAAAGTTCTCAAATGGTTAGTACACCCTTTCAAAATCTCAGATGAATACGTGAATTTTAAATTTCTTGCTCAAATTAATACATGTACTGGTAAAATAAAGTGATAATCTAATAAATAACTATCAGTATTATATGTGATGCATCGTTTTTATTCTGTTTTGTTTTTCGATTAACTCTGGATTCACATGAAGTGTCTGATGAAGGAGATACGTGTGATACATAAACTCAATATCGTGTTCCATTTAACCATAATGAAAAATACAATTTATGCTTTGTAGCTAAGTTCATTTTCCTGTGAAACTTTAGCAATAGTAACATATAATCATGAATAAAATACAGTGCGCATTGAAATGTAACGAAATATTCTTCCAAATCGCCCCATGATTTCCTTCCCATATGAACTAAGACTTTTGACGTCAAACGTTAAATTTTCAAACGGCTTGTCAGCCATAAATAAAAATAAGCAGATTTCATATCAATCTACAACCCAATTACATATCATGTCGAAAAAGAAAGCTAAATACTCAGTATGCCTTCCACATTAACAATAGTGACATGTTTCTAAAACCTTAAAATATGGCACATATCTCGATTACCTTGCTCTTTACATTCAGTCTTTTAAAACGATTTTCAACCATATTTCTCACATGAAACCCAGTTTTTTCACCTCTTTCACACAGCTCATCCAAAATCATGCGGGTGATGGGAAGGCTATCTAAATCGCATTTTCATCTGTCGACGATATACTCACCGTTTCGTTTTCCAGACGCCAGTGGTATAAATACAGATACTATTCCACCCTTTTACTGCGCTTTTCTCAAAGTGATCCAAAATCATAGGGGTGATGCGAAAGCTATTTAAATCGCATTTTCATCTGTCGACGACAGACTTACCTTGGATGCTTTTAGGATGTTTTTGGTATGGTTAGGGAAATGCGGAGAAGGATGTATTGGATTTCTGAACGCGGATGCTTTCCGTTTATTTACGGTAGTTTTTCCGGTAGTTTCCTGTTGGATCTTATGATATTTCCGTCACCTTCTTGGCGGATTCGGTGTGTTTTCCCGGTGATGGAAAGTACAGGAGTTCATAGGTTCCCTTTCCAAGAAATTCCTGCAAGATACGTTGCAAGCCCGCATGGACCCTGGAGGGAAGATGCGGGAGAAGACCTAGGATCGTTCAGGTTCAGGACGGATCCAGATTCCGGAAGCATCACCTTGGGAATGATATCGTGTAACTGCGCGTTTTTCCATAGAATTAAATTGGTCATTGTGATGAGTAATAGAACGACTTTTACCGATCATGTATCGATTACACCCAAACATAGATAGTAAGACATCATTAGTAAATTGCTTCGATACTGTGGATAAGAAAAAATATTGCCATTTTCGACTCGGAGCGAAGTGATATGCTTCTAAAATTGACTGCGTGGTGGAATCCAGATTTTCTTCAAAAAGTTCATGCAGCTTTTCACCTTGACTGGGGGCGAAACATTCACAAATAAAGCTTAAGAATTCTTTCATAATAGACTCGTAGTGATGTTTCAACATCCAAATAGTACCAGCAAATAAATCATGAACTGACTGCTGAATTTGGTATTTCAGCAGATCGATATTGTTCGAAATCGACGTAAGTAGCTGATTGATATCATTTAGTGGTAATCGTTCAGCATACACCGAGCTCACAGTACAATCAATGAATTGAGATGGTGATTGAATTCCAGCATTATTCATATTCGCAAGAGTATCTATGTTTTGGTTAGCTTTTAATTTTGAAAATCGCATTGTTGCAGACGCGTTCTCCTTATTCAAAGGGATCTGTGTCTTTCTTGAATAAAAAGATTTGATCTTTGTTAAACATGTTCCACAAACTTTTTGTCCAATGGGAAAATAATAAGTTTTATCACCCTTGAAAAACTCAGGTTCCATTAGTTTTGTACAATAATCGGTAGGCAATGCGTGCACTGTTTTTGGCTTTTTACAAGTATGATACGGTGATTGACACAATCTTGATGGCCGTCACATTATACCATATGCGAATCGATGATACGGGCAAATTAAATCGTTGTTGCTACATACATAGGGTAGTCAAAAAGTTTTGTCACTTTGGTATATCTTTTGAGAGACATGATATTTTATCCATCTTTCTACACTATATAATCGAGATAGTTGTTGTGATAGTCCATAAAAAATTTCATTTCGTTAGCTCCTTCTTAAGCTGCTTTTTTTCACGAAATACTAGATTTTTTTAAGCGCCTCTCGTTAGTGACGGAATTTTACTGATTTTTGAGCCTACAAAATGTAGTGACACTGCGTATACAAACAGCTGATTTTTTATGATATTATCAGCGGTGATCAGGCTTACATTTATCATTATCGTATTGGCTTGGAATCATTAAAAAAATTATATAGAAAAGGAAACTTGCCCGGCTAACGCTGTCCATAGCGAACCTTATGTAATAACGCAACACATATGACTCTTTTCTTCGTATATTCAAACTATTTTTCGTTTTATAAATATTTCTACAGTGCCATGTTACACTAACAATACCAGTGCAAAATCGATGAATTTATACAGACAAAAGTTATCGAACGAAAAAGGCACTGTTATGGATCTATCTCTGAGGTCATTTTTTAACATTATGTAACATTAAGTTATTTCTAGGTCGTTTTGACAAAAATCAATTTTAAATTCGATACACATACTCGTTTAACACTCAGCTTTCAGAATCTGTGTTTTTAAAATATATTTCAATTAGTATGAATGCTTAGGAACTTCACTAATGAAGCTGCTTGTAGGAACGAGAGGCGCTTAAAAAAATCTAGTATTTCGTGAAAAAAAGCAGCTTAAGAAGGAGCTAACGAAATGAAATTTTTTATGGACTATCACAACAACTATCTCGATTATATAGTGTAGAAAGATGGATAAAATATCATGTCTCTCAAAAGATATACCAAAGTGACAAAACTTTTTGACTACCCTATGTATATCTTTGACGCTCATTCGAGACATGATAAGTGATCTTTTTGTGTATGAAGTGAGATCAGCCTTTACACTAAGACTATGACGAACGACATCCTCGTTGAGCATCGATAATGTAACTAAATCTTGATGAGTTTTACCCTTCTGACGCAAATACACATTGCACCTTCCCTTTCCATAAAATATGCAACCCGAAAACTCCTTGTTCATCGATATATAACCATAAGTTTTGCGATATGACAGTGGATCGGTACGGATGATTCACTACAAAATAAAATCATACGGATATTGAAAACATAAAAGCTCGTTAAAGCACCTGAGATGTTTCCCAATTTATTTACCAATGACAAGTTATGATTGATTACTTTTTATCGTTGCTAACGTCGCGTACTGAGAGAGAGAGAGACAGACAGACATACAATATTTTACCAACATAAATGAAAGGTCTACACTGTAAAAAGAAGAGCAGAATAATCAACCCTTTTAAAGAGTTTATCAACCCTATAGTTTATATGGAGGGTGTGTTATACGTTGCACTTTCATATACCCTTAAAGGGTTTATTAACTTCATAAACCCTCGGAAACCGCATTTGTCTTCTACGGTTCTTCTAATGAATATATGAACAAACCTTTTAAGGGTAGATGAATGCTCATCTACCCTAAACGTTTATGAAAATGCAACGTATAACAAACCCCTCAAAGTTTTGTGGATAACAAGGGTGTTTTTAGAGGATATATGACGTTCACAAGCCCAAAATAGGTTCATGTCACGACGACTAACCCTTTCCGAGAGTTTCTAATTCTACGTTTGTTTTTACAGTGTATATATAGGATAATAAGGAAAATAATTCTCTAGTGAAGAGTAAGCATGACGTATATCATATGTATGTAAATATAAAGAACGGAAAGAATACAGCTGCTTACTTCTAGAAGAACACATGCCTATTTCAAAGAATAACTTTCAAAATATATACGTTGTGAATAAGTCTAATAATACACTGCGTGTGACATGCAACACAGTTTCTATCATGAAGACAATCTACATTTCTAGATGTTGATATCGTATATCAAAGTTTTTCAAGCAAAAAACGCTCTTCTTTCACACGGACCTCGCATTTCGTTCTCACACATAAGTTATTTCTATTCGTATCTAGCATAAGTTTCGTAAATAGTTCTTACAGAAAGATGCACCTCGTACGGTGAAGTAATGGTATGTGTCCGAAATACTCTAAAAGAATCATCGACAAAAGGTATGAGAAAAGAAAGGAGAAATTTTGCGATCATTGATTGATAACTGCAACATGATTCATTTACATGCTATTTGTGATAAATAGTGATGGTGACTGGAACAAAAATTCACCAGGATCATATTCTAATCGAACTTGATTATATCTAATTATAGTGCACAAGTAACGCTCATCGTGCCGACTCACTTAACCCTCGACTGTGGAGGACAGATTTTTTTCGTGTCCCAATTGTGAGACAAATTGATCTAACAATTTCATACACGAAGAAACAATTCAAATGTTTTTGCACAGATATATTTAATAACTGTCGAAAACAAAATACTGAATTTTTCCTACTCTTTTTGGAAGGGCATATAGAAACCTCAATTTTATACTGCCAATGCAATATGCAATAAGAAGAACGAAACGATGACGCAATACAATAAGCACTAGGGCCACTTCAATCGAACAACGTCACCACCATACACAACATATCAAATGCGCCACGAAGCATACACAAGGGTTAAAAATGTAGAACGTCAATCATCAAACTCAGTCTCCTCTAAGTCGATATCCCTTTCCAGGCATCCTCGCCCTCATCTACATACTTCAGCCCATCAACTTCACTACCACGAGACTACTCGTTATTCCATCCAGAAATCGGTAACTACGTGAGCAAGCAACTCCAACTCCGATTTATGAATCCAACCGAAACAAACACTCAACTATAAAAGAATATCTATAACATCAATTTAAATTTACGACGAACAACAATAATAATCATCACTTATTTCCAGAAGTTTTATTTCTTTGTCTTTGTAAAATTGCCATATATTTAATTGGCTTAACTCAATGAATTAGGATTACATTTGACATATAAATTTAGCTGATGTGTGTTTTAATATCTCTATTTTTCGCTTTCACTGCATTTAGCTACGGTAATACATACGATCATTTTTCGTTCTTTTATTACTCCTAAGATTAGTCATAGTTGAATAAAAGAAGGAACACCCTAGCCATTTCGACAGCGTTCTAACACTACTCCTGGCCATCCCAACTTCACATCAGCTTCATATTCCACTATAAACAAATCAACAAGAACTAAACATCAAACCTAACTAAAATCCTTAATTCAGGGGACAGAGCCCCCGATCACCGATTCCAATCACCCACGGCCACCCCGTTTCCCTCAAAGAATCATCGACGACTCCCCACCCACGTCCATACACTCACCAATGGGTTCACTCCCCTCACCTTCACGCTTCATCCGCATTCGGTCTAGCCTCAGCATAGTAAAAGTTTTCAATGTGTTCGATGATTTTAAAACAAAACGTTTGTTTGACTTTTGACCCTTGACCCCAACTCTCATCCCACCCCTCTTGTCAATATCAAACCTCAAGAACCCTTCCAGACGATGTTTCATCAAGTTTTGAGCATTTCACTAAAATCATGACCTTTGACCTGTGACCCTGACACAAACAGACAAACTATTTTTTTTCGCATGACCCTCCTTTCAGCCGAGGAAATAATGTGAATCAACGGGACCAAAATGTGGAAATAGGTTATTTATAGCGGCGGCGCCAAAACGTTGACTTAGGGTAGGCTCGACACATGAAAAAAATTCCAGTGTGCACTCACTACAAAAATTGTGTATTTTTATAGAGTAAATATTTGTTTTCTATGGTAACTTTCAAAGAGCAAAAATTTTTAAACATTCTAGGTGATAAGCCAAGAGGTCCTCTATCACTAGTATGAATAGCAGGCCAATTGCTTATTGGCGCGTAATATCCGAATGGTCGAAATTTAGGTCCGACAATCTCGAGAAACAAGTGAGAGTCATGTTCTTATTGATGTTTTAGAGCTTTTTTTATTCCAGCAAAGTCTCAAATACTTATCGTATCTATCAAACACCTTTGTTCAAGGAAATCTCACAGAACTTGCTGGAAAACCGAAAGAAAAACAAAAAGATCGAAATTAACAAATATCGATAATTCTCCCCGTTTATTGACTGTCCCGGTACGAAAAGGTGATCCGATTCAGCTAAAAGTTTTATCTGATACTTACCTCATTACTACCTATAAAATATGAAAAATCAACGAAATCTGAGACGTCGAACATTCACAATCATCTGACTCTCTCAGAAACATACTCTTAATATTCTAAAATGAAACAGTGCTTGACATGATCCGTCTCGTTTTGTGTCAGTCACGTTTGAAAACGTTCGGAGCTGCGCATCTGTTATTGAATGTCAGGATGTATGTTGACAGTAGGGTGTCAAAGCGGGCTCAACTAATTTGATGTTTTCGTTTCATGTAAAGAAGATTTCATTATGAGTTTTAGAGGCGTTCAGGATTACTTTCTTTGCAAATGCATCACGCTTCTTGACCAATCTTTTGAACACGGAGAAGCAATCATATTAAAGTTCTTGCAATGCGTATTGATTTCGAAAGCACTCCTTCAATAGCAGAACAACTCCAACGAAAAAGAAGCATGATTTATTAATTTTTGTCATACTTTTACTTGTGCATGATAATCCTTCTCGGTTACTATAGTTTGGATCGGTCGTCAATCTGTTCGGTTTCAGATACGCTCAAACAAATAAGAATATAATCTAAAACGAAAGTTTGCAGGAGCGAGAAAATTGCAAGATTTTCATTTTGGAATGATAGAGCGGTATCTGAATTGGAGTATTCCACCATGTGTCACTATAGCTAGAGAAG